AACTAAAAATTTAATAAAATACAAAAAAAAAAAAAAAAAAAAAACACAGACAAGCTTTGTGAGGTTTAACAGATTCAAAAATAAAGATGGAAGCCAAATCCAAACAAACAAGCAGAACGCATTATTAGTCATTAAATACAAAAGCAGCAACCCACCCAAAAGCATCTGCAAACACCAGAAACCAAAGCTTGAGGAAAATTCAAGTTTAGTTCAAGAGAATGTGAAATACAAACATCTATGCCACACAACTCACCAAACACGCCTGTCAACTTGCAGTAGTATACTGCCATCTAGTGGCTAAACAAACTATATACCTGTGTATATTTTTAGTTGTTAATAAAGGGTCGCAATTACATGCATCAAAAACTAATGTGATTGTACATATTTATTTTAACCTATTTTGACCTAAACCTTCCACTGGATTTGAAATTTGTTTTACTAACCATTGTGTGAGGTTTAACTTAACTTAAACCAATAGTATTAACTTAATGCATAAGCAATTTACCATTTTTCAGGACACCTATAAAATATACAGTAGTTCATATTATACACATACGGTAGGTAATTATAAAAAAAAAGGTTTTAATATTAAAGTGTAATTAACCCCCTTCTGAAAGCAAATTCCCATCCCTGGCCAAGAAACATGGCTGAGTGTGAGGGGATGAGCAGAGGGGGCGAGTAGAGCTGTGATGAGGACAAAAGAAGCACTGTTATCAACTTATTCTCCTTGTTATATTTATTGATTTTTCAGACAACTCTAGTCACTGTTTTTTTTTTTCAAAATAGTGATAAATAGTTAGAGCACAGGAGTCCTATTCCAGTCCGTGTCCACATTGCAATAAATCTCATATTGGTACAGCTGAGTAAAGGTTATTGATCAATGCTTGCCAGTCGCCATCGCAATGCTGCTACGCCAACTCCTGACTTGCCAGAGGATGGCTGGGGGCAAAAGAGGTGGGGAGGGATAGAGTGTTGTGTTGTACCAATCTGTACCGCTGCAACCAGCATGAAAATTCAAGAGCCTAAGAACCGTTTGACCAAGGAGGCAAGCAGTGAGACGGTTTTAGGTCAAATAATGCAGAACTGTAGAAACATGTCAAAAATCGCACAGAAACATAAAGATAGAACCCCAAATAATTTATCAGCAAAAGTTGATTTGGGGAGGAGTTTCACTTTAACATTTTTTATTTTAATGTATAAGCTAGCTACAACTGTTTTTTTTATATTCTCCAGCCAAAAAAAAAAAAACTACACACGTATATGCTTCTCTTCTCTATCTCGTACCTGCGTAGACCACTGGTGATGTCCAGCTGAGCCTCTATCTTCTCTTCCAGGTTCATAACACCATGTTGATAAAGCTCCATCAGAACTTTATCTGCCTCCTGGAAAGATGAGACTGCCTCCTCCAAAGTTAAAAGGTCAAGTTCTTTTTGAATTTTTTATTTGAGTTTACTTTTACCATACAGTTTTTTTTAATTATTGACCTCCTAGAATTTTATTAAAGGATATTTGTCTGTAAGAAGTGAAGCCCCTCCCTTTGTGAGGTGCACACTTAGACGGCATGCGAGGACCTCAAGCTTTTCATCTTCGCTGTAGGCCGAGACGGAGGAGCGAAAAAGAAGCAACTCTTTGGCAACTGCCAAGTGCTCCAGGGCTTGTAGTCCCCAACCTAATAACAAAGCACAAGTAATTCTGGTATTAAAAATAAACTGATATTATTGATAATAATTAATAGGAAACAAAAAACACAAGTTGACAAATTATTTGATAATCAGACAGGAACATCATCATAATGTGTAAAAAAAAAGCTTCATGTGAAATGTTTTTCTCCATCCATCCATCCATCTTCTTCTGCTTATCCAGGGTCGGGTCGCGGGGGCAGCAGCTTCAGAAGGGAGGCCCAGACTTCCCTCTCCCCAGCCACTTCTTCCAGCTCCTCCAGGGGAACCCCAAGGCGTTCCCAGGACAGCTGAGAGACATAGTACCTCCAGCGTGTCCTGGGTCTTCCCTGGGGCCTCCTACCGGTGTGACGTGCCCAAAACACCTCACCAGGGAGGCGTCCAGGAGGCATCCTTACCAGATGCCCGAGCCACCTCAACTGGCTCCTCTCGACGTGGAGGAGCAGCGGCTCTACTCTGAGTCCCTCCCGGATGACCGAGCTTCTCACCCTAGTGATAGTTTAAGGTTGTACGGATAGCTTTTCGCATAATAAATAAAATAATTTAAAAACTGCTTTGCGCATTTATTCATGCAACCAAAAACAGAAAAAAAAAAATAAAAAAAAAATCTGTGGGATGCAAACACTCTTTTGCTGCACTGATACAAAAGGTATTACCTTTGAATTGAAAGTATGCTTTAGCCAGCCTGGCATGAGCCTGTGCGAGTTTTAACTGTTTCTCCCCACACACAAGTTGGGTCAGAGCCACACATCGCACCAAGTCCCGGATGCATGCATCAAACTGAACACACAGAGTTGAACAATGTTAGAGCCATTTGTCTAATTCACCAAACATGATGAAAAATGTGTCAGTCATAACAGTCAGATTTTCTTTTTCCTTTAACATACCTATATGAAAAAAGAAAAGAACTCACCTTATTTCTTTAGATTTATTTTCTACATCATATATATATATATATATATATATATATATATATATATATATATATATATATATATGTTACCTTCTGGTTGTCCTCGTTCAACTGAGCTCGACAGCTAAAGTGTTTGAGTTTTTCTTCTGGAGGCATCATCAAAAACTCATCCCCGTCATATTTTACTTCTGTAGGTCTGTCGAAGAATCGACCACTGTTGGTACTTTCATTACTCTCAAGGGACCTAAATGTTTGGTGGAAGAAAACACATTTGCACTACAATGCTATTTCTGGACTGGAATAGTTTTTGTGTGTGTGTGTGTGTGTGTGTGTGTGGGGGGGGGGGGGGGGGGGGGGTTTTTTTTTTTTTTTTTAAAAGAAAAAAGGGGCCCCCAAAA